ACAATTTATTTGTGCAATCTACCGTACACAAGCGATATCACATGTAAAACTCTCAGCTCGTGCCTCCAATAATATGTTTGGTAATCTAAGGTTTTATATGTATGGAATATAGATTGAATAATATCTGATGATATTCACACACACATAGAGCCTTCAGGGACCCTGTAGTTCTTTGTTTTAAGCGGTGATATAAACACTTATGAACGGCAGATGGCCAATAAATAGACTTTGCTTAAAATATATATAAATTTAATAATACACACTATAAAATGCGAAGCAACAAAACAATACAATTACAATCAATTTGCTGTATTATATATGAGTTTCTATCAACAAGTCAATTAGTTTACTTGACAAGCCTAGGAGTCAACATTACACTTTGTCTCATCTCTAATCTTATCAACAAAGGACAATAAAATCTATTACAAACTTCACAGCAATACCAGTATACAGAATTAATCATATGCCACCCCTTGCATTAATGATACAATTGTCATTATATTAATTAGTTAAATATCAACCAACCCTGCCAAGTATTTACCATCAGTTTAACTACAGTACGTTTATATAAGGTTTCTGATAGCCTTAGTATATATATATTGAACTGATCTACGTCTAAAGAAGGAATCAAGAATGTTCCGACTTAGGAAGTTATATCTGACTCCGGCTGCAGGTAGAATGAGATATAACTGTTCTATCAATAGGGATCAGTTCACAATATAGACACATAGGGCATTCAATAGTCCCGTTTATTTAATATAAAGTAAAGAGAAACCTTTATACATTACCAAGAGTCTAGGATGAATTAATTCAATTTGGGATTCTCCTCTCAGGGTGCTCTGGTCTGTAATTCAGTCTATTGCCCTTAGTCAGTCAATCTCCTCCTTTCTTAGCCCTCTGTTTTCTCCTTTGATCTTTTTTTAAGATGATCTGAAGATATTGCTCCTCTCTCTTATTTTTCTCCCTATTTAACCATTATTTCCCCCTTATCAGTTCCTGCCCCTTGTTTGTAAATGGGCGGTACCTGGGACTTAAATCTGGCTTTTGATTGGTTATGGGCGTATCTTAATATTTAATTATTAATGTGGCCCTTAGGGACTTTCATCAATAGATGGCACTAGGTATGAAGACCTGAATTAGATCATTGATGACCTGGTTAAATAAATGAATTGGCCTTTAATTCACCTATACTGGGGATATTTCAAATTACGTTAAATATCTGTCTTTGGTTATATATATTCTTTGATTGAAACAGGGTTGGTTATATTAATCATCATGCAATATGTCTATATCCTGTATCCATCTAACCTGTATGATTAACTGAGTGATACATTCATCTTTACAAAGAAAAATAGAATCTAATTATAGTAGTATATCTATATTACCTTTTACCCCTAAATCAGTCAAGGATGCAGTTATAGACATTACTGTAGCAATCACACATTTAGTTTACATTTATATATCATTCATGATTCCAATAGATTTATTTAAGTTCTAATATCCTGAAAATATGGAAGCGACCTCAGACTTTGGGTTTGTATGGCTGACAAACACTCTGTATTGCCTGTGATGTTTATACACAAACAATTGCATAGTTTGTATACCTCTTTGAAGCTCTGTGAGTTTAAGTAGTGTAAAGTCCCATTGAGTAATAAACCATTGTTCTCGTTACCCTCGTACACCTACAGCTCACAAATTAAACTGTAGATAAGTATTCCTCCTGTTTACTTCTTAAGGTTACAAAATACAAAGTTCCTTTGACCTGTGTTGAAACAGCATTACGTAATGTCCAGGCCAAGCTCACCAGCATCCATATTGTTTTCTTTTAATATTAAAAATTATGGGGCACCAAATAGCACAACAATACAGTCAGTGCACAGACACAGACAGTGATGGGAGCCAGGGCCGGACTGGGACCTAAAATCAGCCCTATTAAGGACATTTTAGTAATGGGACTGAAATGCTGAATGTCTGCAGTTGCACAACTAAAAAAAATCAAGTGATCTTGTTTATTTTGAAGTTCTATGGGTGCGCTCTTCACTTTGAATGTGTTATTGTGCATGAGTATGCAACTAGCAACAAGACAGGGCCAATACGTGCTCATTACATATATATAATGACATATTTAATGAAATTTATGTGTGTATTATACATTGTAACGGACCGTTTCAGCAGACAAGGGATAAAAACCGCTTAGACGATAATCCCCTTTTAGAGACAGGCACAGCTACTGTAGAATCACCAAAACTCAGGAATTGAATACAAGTGAATGCACCAAACTCCCGAACTGCATACAAGGGAATAAGGTAGCACTCCAAACTCCCGAACTGGAACCTCACGAATAGCTGCTAACAGACGAACAGGAAAAGCTCCCAAGCGGCTTACACTCCTGGCAATCAGTCCTTAGCAGCATACAGCGAATCCCCCCAAGAACGAGACAAGGCTCTGTGTTGAGGGTCAAGCAGTGGTCTGAGGTGCTGGCACACCCAGCCTGGTTTTTATTACAGTCTTTTCAAATACAGGACCGCCCACAGGGAGGTATAAAATATCCAGTAACATATTAGTTACAACCCACAGATTCCCTCCCCCTTATCCTGAGAGGTAACCCAATTACACATACTTTTTACCACAATGCATCCTGGCTTCCTCTCCTCTGCCCAGGAGATAATTGAGAAGTAATTAAATTATCTCCCAGGACAGAGACAAGACTCCATTATGCACATGGTTAGCACAAAGCATTAAAATACTGTACAATACACAAAGTCCCATTTTATACATAAAACACAGACATGTCAGAGACAAGACTCCATTATGCACATGGGGACACAAAACAAGCATTACTGTTAAAATACACCAGGTAAGACACATTACATTAAAACTATACATTTAACATATCCCCAGATAGCTCAGGTCTGAGCACACATTATTAAGTGAATGGCGCTCAGACCACACGAATACAGTTTAATCGCCATGGAGCCAAAGTCTTTACAGTCAGTTTCATACGAATGGGCTCCATGGGATTCCTATCTGGGGTATAACACATTCAAACAAATCTACCGAACCCCAGGCAGAAAAGCACGAATGAAGCTTTTATGCAGGTAAAAAAGATGTCTTTTAACAGGGGGCCATAGTCCAAAGGCAGCAGGCGAGCAACCAGGCTTCTCCAATGCAATGTGGCGAGATTGGTCTCGTCACATGCATAAATAAATGTATATTACTATATGTGTAAATATTATAGGCATAATTATATGTTACTAATACACACATCAATATACATGCATATATATATATATATGTGTATTACTGTCAGGATCACATCAATTTACGTCTATTATCTTTACCTCGTTTAGTGTATCTTGTCTCCAATTGTCTCCTTTTTTTCTCTTACAGCGACCCTTGTGCATCTTTTACTTCATCCCAGTCCCTGTGTGTTTCTTTTTACCCTTCTCCAGCCTCTGTATTTCTCTTTCCCCCAGCCCCTTTTGTGTTGTTCTTAGCCCCAGCCACTTTGTCTCTTTATCCCCTTCCAAATCTCATCTGTGTGTCTCTTTCTCTTCTCCCAGTCACTCTCTGTCTCTTTTTCCCCAGCCCAGCGTTGCCTCCCACAAATCTTGTGTCACTTTGTTCCCCTTCCCTACTGTATGTCTCTTTGTTCCCCCAACAAACCTTCCGTGTGTCTCTCTTCTTGATCTCCTCCCTGTGTCTCTCTCTTACCCCTCTGTCTCTGTGTCCCCCCTTCTCCTGTGTCTCTCTATTACCCCTCTCTTTGTCCCCCCAACCTCCTATTACCCCTCTGTCTCTTTGTCCCCCCTTCCCTGGTGTCTCTCTTATTACCCCTCTCTTTGTACCCCCATCCCATGTCTCCCCATCTGTCTGTGTCCCCCCTTGTCCTATGTCTCTCTTTAACAGCTCTGTCTCTTTGCCCCCCAACCTGGGTGTCTTTCTATTACCCCTCGGTTTCTGTGTCCCCCTTCCTGTGTTTCTGTTACCCCTCAGTCTCTGTGTCCCCTTCCCCTGTGTTTCTCTGGCTAACCCTCTGTTTGTCCCCTCATTTCCCTCCTATTTGTCTCCCCATTCCCTCTATTTGTCTCCCCATTCCCTCTATTTCCCCTCCTATTTCCCTCTTTCCCCCCTTCCCTCCAGTTTTTGTCTCCTCCTTCCCTCTGAACACCCCCATTCCCTCTATTTGTCCCCCCCCGTTTCCCCTCTGTTGTCCCCATTCCCCTCTATGTGTCTCCCCATTCCCTCTGTTGTTACGCTACCTCTATTTGTTTCCCCCATTCCCTCTAGTTGTCTCCCCCCCATTTGCACCCTCTATTTCCTTGTTCCTCCACTTGTCTCCCCATTCCCTTTGTTTGTCTCCTCCTTCCCTCTATTTGTCCCCTCCCTCTGTTTCTCTCCCCTTCCCTCCATTTGTCCCCCCCTTCCCCTCTATTTGCCTCCCCCCCTTCCCCTCTTTTTGTCTCCCCTCCCTTCTGTGTCCCTTCTGACCTTGTCACAGGAGGTCTGAGGGAGAGGGCAGAGCTAACTACCATGCTCCCTCGCGGTTCCCATAATTCCCAGCATGGACGCATCATACAGTAATCACTACTCTATGATGTGTAGATGCTGGGAATTATGGGAACCGCGAGGGAACATGGTAGTTAGCTCCGCCCCCTCCCTCAGTCCTCCTGTGCTGACAGTCATATGGCTGTCAGTATCAGTGAGTGTGCTGCTGGATCGCTTAGGCGGCCGCCCGGCACACTCACTCATACTGACAGCTGATACTGATGGGGCTGCCGGCCGCAAGGTGAGTAATCACCTCAGAGTGTGCCGCCGGACCGGCCGGACCGGCCACCCGGCGGCACTGACATGCGGCTGGTGGCCGCGATATTATTAAAATAAAGGGAGCAGGGCTTCCTCTCTCTCTCTCCGGCCCCCCAGGAAATTGCCCGGTATCCCGGTGGGCCAGTCTGGCCCTGATCACTCAGCAGACAGTCAATGCCCAGACACAGACAGCAATGGGAGCAGATATCACTCAGCAGACAGTCAATGCCCAGACACAGACAGCAATGCGAACAAATATCACTCAGCAGACAGTCAATGCCCAGACACAGACAACAATGGGAACAAATATCACTCAGCAGACAGTCAATGCCCAGACACAGACAGCAATGGGAACACATATCACTCAGCAGACAGTCAATGCCCAGACACAGACAGCAATAGGAACAAATATCACTCAGTAGACAGTCAATGCCCAGACACAGACAGCAATGGGAGCAGATATCACTCAGCAGACAGTCAATGCCTAGACACAGACAGCAATGCGAACAAATATCACTCAGCAGACAGTCAGTACACAGGCACAGACAACAATGGGAACAAATATCACTCAGCAGACAGTCAATGCCCAGACACAGACAGCAATGGGAACACATATCACTCAGCAGACAGTCAATGCCCAGACACAGACAGCAATAGGAACAAATATCACTCAGCAGACAGTCAATGCCCAGACACAGACAGCAATGGGAGCAGATATCACTCAGCAGACAGTCAATGCCCAGACACAGACAGCAATGGGAACAAATATCACTCAGCAGATAGACAATGCCCAGACACAGACAGCAATGGGAACAAATATCACTCAGTAGACAGTCAATGCCCAGACACAGACAGCAACGGGAACAAATATCACTCAGCAGACAGACAATGCCCAGACATAGACAGCAATGGGAACAAATATCACTCAGCAGACAGTCAATGCCCAGACACAGACAGCAACGGGAACAAATATCACTCAGCAGACAGTCAGTACACAGGCACAGACAGCAATGGGAGCAGATATCACTCAGCAGACAGTCAATGCCCAGACACAGACAGCAATGGGAACACATATCACTCAGCAGACAGTCAATGCCCAGACACAGACAGCAATAGGAACAAATATCACTCAGCAGACAGTCAATGCCCAGACACAGACAGCAATGGGAACAAATATCACTCAGCAGACAGTCAACAGTCAATGCCCAGACACAGACAGCAATGGGAACAAATATCACTCAGCAGACAGTCAATGCCCAGACACAGACAGCAACGGGAACAAATATCACTCAGCACAGACAACAGCAGACAGCAATGGGAACAAATATCACTCAGCAGACAGTCAATGCCCAGACACAGACAGCAACGGGAACAAATATCACTCAGCAGACAGACAATGCCCAGACACAGACAGCAATGGGAACAAATATCACTCAGCAGACAGTCAATGCCCAGACACAGACAGCAATGGGAACAAATATCACTCAGCAGACAGTCAATGCCCAGACACAGACAGCAATGGGAACAGGTATCACTCAGTAGACAGTCAATGCCCAGACACAGACAGCAATGGGAACAAATATCACTCAGCAGACAGTCAATGCCCAGACACAGACAGCAATGGGAACAAATATCACTCAGTAGACAGTCAGTACACAGGCACAGACAGCGATGTGAGCAGGTATCACTCAGTAGATAGTTAATACACAGACAGCAATGGGAATATATCTCACTCAGTAGACAGTTAGTACACAGACACTGACATTAAAGAAGCAGTTATCACTTTGCAGACAGCCACATACAGATATGGACCCTCACCAAGGATGTTAATTTTAATGAGAACCAATGTACCTAGTAGTAATTCTGTGGCTCCCAGTGAATGGCCTGTTGTCCCAGTGAATGGGACTGAGCTGTAGGTTGGGACAGACCGATATAGGAAAGAACCATTTTATAGACAGTGAATATTGTGAGAACCAGTTTACTCAGATCCCATGATTCCCGGGGAATTAAACTGAGTTTATGGAAGGACTGAACCGATGTGATAAATAAGGTATTATGGAAACAAACACATTATATTTTCACAATATTTTTGCAGAATAGCATTTTTCACAAAGCTTTGTTAGTTACTTATTTGTTAAACAAGTTGAACCAAAACGATCATTAAAACTCTAGACATATGATCATGGTGAGGATTGGACTCACCAACACGTGCAAGTTACCTTCATACATCTCTTGGACATACAAAGAGCAGTAAAACTGAATTTAAAGGACTTTTATTGCTTTAGCAGAATGTTAACAAAATAAATGGACAATATCTGCAATGTCCCAATCTTCAGCTTGAGGTTATCTCCTGGTAGCAGCGTTTTAACTGGGATCTCTGATCCTGGCATCTCTGCAGCCTCCGCCATGTCGCAGCCATTATCAGTCTTCTTAAGATGTTCAAGTCATTGTCTCTCACTCAGCAGGAGCCAGGCAGAGCCACAAGGAAGAGTTGGGGTAACTGACTTTATTGCAGAAGAAACGAAAGAGAGAAGTTTTTTTATTAAGGATAGAGTTTTCTTTTGTTATCTTGATTACTGTAGCATTACAATTTGTGTGTCAGCAGGAAGGACAATATTCGGGAAGCTTCAAGTTTGTAAAATCAGGCTTTAATCTTGAATCAAAGCAGATGAGCTGTCTGTGTGCAAACTCACTCTGAGTCTAATGGTGAGAAGAATTTCAGAGAATTTACTTTATCATTCCAGCCAATATCTTTGTAGTTAGGGACAGCATCTCCAGCCAAGGCCACCATCTTGGAACCTTGGAAATGTTTCTTGTCGTAGAGGATCCAGACTCCATTCTGCACTTTGTGAGATGAAACCATGTTGCTCATTTCATAAGACGATAAATCTTCCACATTTTTTGTCAGAATAAGGCTCCGGCCACCATAGTTGATATGCTCATAAACTGTGATCTGTGGATCGTAAAGACCACCGTTCACAACTCTCACTGAGCAGATCATGTCCTCAAAGTCTGGAATTGAATTGTAGTCACCTTCTTTGTAGATCTTAAATTCTCCCTTGTAGTTTTTATCAGAAAACACAACCCAGGGATCTCCATGTACTCTGAGAGACTTGGCCCTTTTCAGAAATCCAACTGAGGCTAGATTAGGTATATCATTGTCTAAACTCACAGAGTCTCCCTTCATGTCTGTGTACGCAAAGAGTTGTAGCTTGCTCATTGTCGTCTTTGATGGATCCGAAGCTTTGTTCTGAGCACAGAGAATCTGGTCTCTCGCCTGCTGTGTGATCCTATTTATATTGTGAATGTTACAGACGTGCTTACAGGACTATTTTGAAAACTTAGTTCCTATTTCAAAAGAAGACGTGAACTCACACAGTTATTTTTTTTCCTTCTTCCCTCTAGGGTTGCAGGACATAGAGGGTTGGTTAACTTTTCCCTGGAGGCGAAAAGAATATAAGGGACCATTAGCAAACCTTTGCAGCAAAAAAACCACAAACAATCATCATATCACCATCCTCATCACAGTGAAAATGTGACAAACGTCAATGTATCCTTCCTGGTAAAATATTTTATAAATAAATCAGCTCCCACAAACCACTTTCTTTTCTCTAAAATCTCTCCCCCTACTACTATTCCCATCCCCACCTGTGGCTAACATTCTTTGTCTGTCTGATGGTGGCTTCTTTCAAAACCTTAAACCAACTACCTCTCCCACCCTCCCCTGCTATGGGGAAACCCCTAATCTCATTAATCTCAGACCCAAACATTGCAATCCTAAACCTGCTGCTCTTCCACCTTGCGTTCTATGGACAAACTAACTTCTGTTCATGATTTCTCCATATATAACAAAGTCAGTGTAATGGCTCTTACTTAGACCCAGCTTATTTCTCTGACACTGTCTCACCTGCTGCTCTTTCTTTCCTACACTGCAGCCGTGTCTATCTTCCCAAGGAAGAACTGGAAGCGATGTTGGTATAGCTCTCTCATCTTGTGGTACTTTCAAGATGTACGCCCTGTTTACTCTCTCTCATTTTTCTTCTTTTAACCCGATTTGTCTTTTCTGTCTCTCCACTTTCTGCGATTCCATGTATCAGCTCCCTGACACTACTTTCTTATTCCTAGATCACTTTGCTGCCCGGCTCTCTCATTCTCTGTCTAATTTACCATCAACTGCCCATAATATCCCAGAGGATGACTGGGGACAGGTCGTATTTAGTTTTAGTTATGACGAGGTGTTGGTTACTGTGATTAGTGCTGCTACATGTGAGTGTCTGGAACAGACAGAGGTCAGACTGCATGATGTTTCGGGGTGTTCGGAGTGGGGTAATATTAGATGATCTATACTTCTATGATTCTATAATGTCTAGGATGTTCACTACATTTATTAACTAATGCCCCCACCTGGCGCTCATGGTTGGGAATTGAGAGAATGTCCCTCCCATTTTTTATTTAATAGAGCTACACCAGATGACCTTGGAGGGGATGGTGTGATGAACATTGACCCTTTCACCCGCCATTATTTAGTTTTAACCCCCCCACAATGCCTATGAGTGATGGCACATGGGACATGTTCCAGGTCCCTCTGTCTTTTCTTAGTGACTCGTTAGCAATAGCTGCCCAGTCATTAGTTGGCTGTTGGCTGCTCACTGTTTAAATTTTAACTATTTGCCTGCTGACATAGAGTAAAAAAGATTTATCAACCTTTAGTTTAAGCTGTAGTTGTTGAATCAAATATAATTAAAGGGACATTGTAGGCACCCAGACCACTTCAGCCCATTGAAGTTGTCTGGGTGAAAACTCCCATCACCCTTAACCTTGAGCATGTAATTATTGCAGTTTTTATAAACTGCAAAAATTGCCTGCTAGGGTTAACTCCTCCTCTAGTGGCTGTCTACCAGACAGCCACTAGAGGGACTTCCGGGTTCTTAAAACCTGAAAAGTGTTTTAAACAAGCTGGACATCCTCACTGTATGCATTAAGACTTCCAGCGTCACCGGAATCCCATTGCCGCACATGCACATTAGGAGCGTGTGCGGAGCTGAGCCAGTACCGAGGGACATCGGAGATGGACCCAGGTAACTGACAGAAGGGGTTATTCACCCCTTCTGCAACTGCACCATGGGGGGGCCTTGACGAAGGGGGAAGCTATAGTGCCAGGTGTGAAAAACTACCTGGAAATCCTGTTATTATTTCTAAACCAAAGTTATTTTCTCCCTTTTATTCAGTAATTCTATCTACTGAATGTAGACCACGCTCTGGCTCATTATCTTCAAAGTAACCACAAATTTAAGTGCTCTCTCTGGGCAGCCACCGTTTGTATAAGCGAAAGAAACATGTTCTGGAAAACAGCGGCCATCTTGTCTACCCAACGCAGGCAGCGGTACTTAATGGTTGAGTGTCTTGAACTCCAAGCCGGACACAAGACCTCTCAAACAAGAGCTATCTCATGACCCATATTCTACCTCCCCATCTCATGCCCCCCATATTCTTCCCTCCTATCTCATGCGCCCTATATCCCATCCCATCGCATGCAATTTTATGTTCCCACCCTGTTATAGCCCCCCACATCCCTCCTTCCACAGGTCTTACTTGTCCTTCCTGCTGTGAAATGCCCCCATATCGTTCTCCTTCCATCAAATGACCTCCATAAGTCTCTTTTTTTACCCATAGACCCTGCATGTGCCCCCATCCTTGCCCTGCCCCCAAAAAACACAAAGATTGTAATGTTGCTTTGCTGGTTTCTGTGCAGGTCCCTGTGTGTGAAGAATCCGGGGTATGGTGTCATTTTATCTTCAAAAGAACGCTAAATGTGAGTTAAAACCAGATAACAAGCTAAACAGCCTTAAATCAGAGAGAGGAAATTTGGCGGAACAGACCTCGCCACGTGTTCTTGGAGGGGGCTGCTTGCCCGCCTCCTACCTACTGACTATGGCCCTGGGATATATGGCATTTGAAAACACTATTTGTGCCATGTGACAAAACTGGAGATTGTGCACAAATATGACTATTGTCCATATGTTTTATGATTCCCTTCGTTTGTTGCACTGTTCCCCATGTGTTTCATCTGTTGGTCCGGCTGGATAGACTACCAGACAAATTGTGGAGTAACTGGGTGGCCACCATTTTATGTATCAGAGGCACATGGTGAGAACAATCAATGAAGCACATGGTGAGTTTTAAACTACAGAACAGGGGACACATTTAACAGTAATTATTTTTCATATAGCTTGTATATGTTCTGCGGAATCTGCATTAAACCGTATCTTCCAAACTACTGAACAGACATGGGTAAATTTTGGATGTGTGGTTCACCCAGATCCACCCAGCAATTTTGTCTAAAATTCACAATTTGGTTTAATGTTCACAAGAATTCAGGGTTTAGTGAATAAACCCATCAAAACTCCTCTACAATAATGTTGTTAATGCAGCATCTATGGCAGGCTTCCCCAAACTCTGGCCCTCCAGATGCTGCTGAACTACAACTCCCATGATTCTATGAATGAAATAGATAGGCTGGAAATCATGGGAGTTGTAGTCCAGCAACATCTGGAGAGCCGGAGTTTAATAAACACAAACAATGTCCATAGTAAGTGATTTTACAACTGCTGAGAGCTGCAAAATGTATCTGCTAGACATTCGCAAACTGTGTGTTTCCCCGCATCGTGACTGAAACAGAAAGGTCTATTTGAAAACAGGAACTTTGTGGAAATGTTAGACAAGTCATCTCTTTCTTAGAATTTCTCACTGGCCAATTCTACATTTTATTAAATCAAGCAGCTGAGTTCAGGGCTAGATTAACAGGAGTAGTTCCAGAAGATTGGAAGTTAGCGAATGTTGTACCCATTCACAAGAAAGGTAGTAGGGAGGAGTCGGGCAACTATAGGCCAGTAAGCCTTACTTCAGTAGTGGGGAAAGTGATGGAAACCATGTTAAAGGATAGGATTGTTGAACATCTAAAATCACATGGATTTCAAGATCAGAGACAACATGGGTTTACTTCAGGGAGATCATTCCAAACTAATCTTATTGATTTTTTTGATTGGGTAACTAAAATAATAGATCAGGGTGGTGCAGTAGGCATTGCTTACCTAGATTTCAGTAAGGCTTTTGACACTGTTGCACATAGAAGGCTTATCAATAAACTGCAATCTTTAAGTTTGAATTCAAATATTGTTGAATGGGTAAGGCAGTGGCTGAGTAACAGGCAACAGAGGGTTGTAGTTAATGGAATATATTCGAAGCTTGGACTTGTCACCAGTGGGGTACCTCAGGGATCTGTACTTGGACCCATTCTCTTTAATATTTTTATTAGTGATATTGCAGAAGGTCTTGATGGTAAGGTATGTCTTTTGCTGATGATACTAAGATATGTAACAGGGTTGATGTTCCAGGAAGGATAAGCCAAATGACAAATGATTTAGGTAAACTAGAAAAATGGTCAGAATTGTGGCAACTGACATTTAATGTGGATAAGTGCAAGATAATGCATCTTAGACGTAAAAACCCAAGGGCAGAGTACAGAATATTTGATAGAGTCCTAACCGCAACATCTGAGGAAAGGGATTTAGGGGTGATTATTTCTGATGACTTAAAGGTAGGCAGACAATATAATAGAAAAACAAAAAGAAGGAAG